AAGGAAGAAAGAAAGAAAGAAAGAAAGAAAGAAAGAAAGAAAGAAAGAAAGAAAGAAAGAAAGAAAGAAAGAAAGAAAGAAAGAAAGATGAGATGTTATATGAACAAAAGAAGTGAGATACAAGAACCTTGGAAACAAGAATTAAAAGAGGAAAATAAGATAAATTTATTGAACAGAGAGGCAGGGACTAGCATGGTAAGAAAGCTAAAGCTGGAAGTACAGAAACAGATCAAATACACTGTTAGTAAATCATGTCTATACATTGGTTTGATAACAAGAACATCTTGGCAGGGAGATGTATTATACAATGATCCAAATTGTGAAGACTTAAGAAAGGAAGGACTAGAATCTGAGTGAAAAGTTAAAGAAATAGGCTTTTTCCTACCTCTCTGCCTACACTCGACATTATGTCATATTCTGCCTTATCTTACAGTGTAACATGTCTTTTCATAGGTCCAAGCCGTCGCTTTAAGAGAGTAGTAGAAACCATTCAGGCACAATTGTTAAGCACACATGACCAGCCGTCAGTGCAACAATTATCAGGTAAGTAGCTTCCATAGCTTATCTGTGCTTCAGGCAAGGGCATGAACTGGAAGCAACTTTCAACATAGCCCATCACATTGCACTTGAAAACTAATTCCATTCAGACCAACCCGTAAGAGTCCTCAGCACCTCCCTCCCATTTGCTCTACCCCCACCTACCTTGCAACAATTCCTATTTCCTAAATTCATTCCTCCCCATGGCCCGGCCCTGCCCTAAGAGCCATCTGTCCCTGTTTCACAGGAAGTGTCATCAGCTATTTGTATCACTCTAATGATTTGTCCAATATACAGATATACTTTAAAATATCAGACAAAATGGCCTTATTCAATTACTTTTTTAAAAAATTAAGCAATCATATAATTTAGTTCTTGAAGAAATAGAATTTGAAAGCAGATGGGAATACCTGGAAGCTTAAAGCAAGTTTAATTTTTGGAAAGAGCTAGTATTGAAGAATCTGTATGCCATTTTCTCTGCTCTCTGAAGTTAAAATGGTTGAGCAAAGACAGAAGCAGCTTGTCATTGCTCTTCAGTTCTTTCCCTTAATGGGCTGACACATTCCCTAAAAGCCTTACTAACAAAATCTTGTCACTGCAATTTCTTCTAACCTCCCTAGCCTTCTTCAGATCCTGTGCTTCACATTCTGAAAGTCATCCCCTCCTCCCCAAAAAGTAGATTTTGTTATTTCCAAACAAAACTACTACAGGAGATGTTTGTTAGCAGGGAGGATATGGGGAAAATGTGATGTAAATAGATCCAAAATAAAGTTTTGCTATCCATCTAAATGGAGCAATTTTATTCATTTTCCTATGCTTAGAGAAGTAAGAGATTTGTCCATAGATTAGTAACATGCTTATTTTTTTAAGATAATTTTTATAAGCATATGGGGGGAAATGTAATATGGAAATGGAAGGGAATAAACAGTTTCTGAAACTGAGAGCTGGGGTAGGAAAAGACTTACCGGATATTCAAAATATTGTGACCTTTAGAAAATCGGAAGTTGCTTATATTGAATCCTTTTCTCCAACTTCCTCAGCTGATACCTTAGGTTTTAGGCATAGGTTTTTCCAGCCACAGATGTATAAACCAGACTAGGATCATCTACATGCAAAATTCATGCCCTTCCACTCTGGGCAAATTTTGTATATGGAGTTGTCCATGTTAGTAAAAGAGAAAGGAAGATCTAATGAATTAGAAGAGAGTGAATTAGGATAAAATCTACTAAATTAACACTGCAAGATGATTGCTTCTAGATTCCCTGTTCAATGGCCCTAGAGACGTTACCCTGACCAGACTGTTCTTTGCTCCAAATCTTGGCCCTACTGCAGGACTGCATTATAATCATCTTAAAGTTCTGGCCAGTCACTGCAGTGAATGAACTTCCCATATTTAGTTTATACATAATAAGCTAATGAATAGCTGCCACACTATGTGAATTCAGATTTAAACAAACATCTGACTGGATGAAATTCTTGATAAGAAATGTGTATTTTGTATGCAGCTATAACTTTAAATTATGCAGAAGTCCAGGCTATAACTGAGGAGGAACATAACCAAGAAAAGTGTCACAAGGAGATATTTTCCAAGGAGTATAGCTTGCTAGTCATATTGAAATGGAAGAGGACTGATAAAGAGTTAATGCCTTAATCAGTGCCAGATGAGTGTTGACTAGCCACGTGAAAGAATGCTATTATCATTCCAACACTTTCTTGTTACTTAGGAAATAATGAGGCATTCAGTTTAGCATGATGTCTTTCCAGCATAGGTAGTTTAGAATCAAGTCATAGTCTATGAGGAGCCATTAATTACTTAAAAAGCAGCATCAGATATTATCAGTGTTCATTTCATCTGTGTCTAGCCTCTTAGAGAGGTTCAGAGAACTTACCTTCTAACAAAATAGTGTTCCCCATTTTTCCAATCAGGTGCTATACCAGGTGAGTGATTGGATATTCTATATGAATAAACTATATGTACTGTGAAAGGGAAAGGGCTAATATAATGTATATCAACAGATGCACCCTCCTGCCTAGGTGACATACCTGTGAATCTGTCTCTAGTTGTAGCACTGCCAGCAGGGACTTGTGACTTCGTGGAGGTGATCCTTGGCTAATTCTCCTGACCCTGCTTGGTCTGCTAAACCAGCTTATGAAACTGGCTCACCTGGGTTTCAGAACAGGACTGTTCTCTGTGGTTTCTCATTCTTTGCAAGTCCACATCAGTGTTGGTGGTCATCAGGTTTTTCCTTGCGTGCATCTCATCTCAATGGTGTGTCTGTGTGTCACACCTTCATATTCCATTTAAGTACTGTCTTCATTCTCATCCTCATTTCTGCTTCTTGGGACTTATTTTGCTTATTACTTTGTATCTAAACTCATCTAGAACAAAGCTGTAGGAGAGTCAGGTGGTATAAGGGTTAAATTGTTGGTCTGGAATTGGGGAAACCCAGGTTCAAGTCCAGTCTCAGCCATGGAAACTCACTGGATGTCTTTTGAAATCTACCTCACAGGATTGCAGTGGAGGAGATAAAAGTGAAGGGAAAGCCCTATGTAAGCTGCCTTGAGCTTCTGAACAAAAGGCAGAATATAGATCTAACAAATAAAATAAATAAAGCCTATATAAATTATCAATAATTGGACAATATCAATTGCACAAATTATTTTATAACCATAAGAATCTTGACCTATGTTCTTTAAAAAAAGAGAATGGAATGCTGTTTTTATAGATATTTGCTCTCCTTAGAAATCCTTAAAGCTTTGGATTAAAAAGGAATCTGCCTATGGAGGAAGGCAGAGGAAACCCCTACATACAGTGTAAAAATTTATGCCAATTAGTAAAAAGTTATGTTTGCAAAATGAATAGTGTTTCAATCAATATGAATTCTGGTTTTATATCATCTCTCTACTAGCATAATTTATGAAAGGTATTAATCAATCATCATTCCCTCTACCTTGTTTTATGTCTCTGGTAGGCTCTAAACTTTTTTAGTGTTATTTCCAAGTTCCAGCTTTTAGAAATACAGCAAAGTTGACAGTGAATTTGTAATTACAGACAAGGTATACCTCCTTCCAGTCCTGCTGTTGGGGTATTTCCTCTTCAAACTGTTGCATTAAAGCCCCTTTTGTTCCTACAATAGTGCAAGCAAAAGAATTGGGAAACGAATGAGAAACAGATTTATGTTAAGGGAAAATTAGGTTCTTCAGGTTGCTTATAACTAGCTGTGTTTTTAAAATTAGGTAAGTAACCTAAAGAGCTCTTTCACACCACAATTGTTTTGACTCCCCAGTCTTTTCAAAACATTTCAGAATCAACCTGCACCCATCCACTTCTGGTAATCTTGAAACGCTGAGAGCAGGGAATACCTGTCAGAGCTCACTTACAGCTTACCAAAAACAGAGTGCAAAAAGTAATCAAATCAGTGTTTGAGCTACCACAGATTCCTCTCTCCCCCTTTCCACGCAAAAAGAAAGCTGCTGTCCCACCTACACTTTACCCCTCTTGCAAGCTGTGAGTGAGTAGCCTCTCAACCAACTTGTAACAACCATATAATCTTCCCAGTCTCTTTCCAATGGCTGTAGACTGCTACAGGATCGGAGGTACATCGTAAATAATGCCTACGGGCAGGCGTCAGGATTAAGGTGCTAAAGTTCAGAATCCGGCAGCAGAGAGAGACGAGGGTTTCTTTCAGTAGGAAAAGGAACTGCCCCCAAATTCTGCAGAGTTATAGTGTTGCAAAAGAAAAAGTAATTCCCCCCACCTTCTGGTTTCAGATAAATCAATATGCAACCGGGGGGCGGGGGGGAACCCACTTCACCAATATCAACCTTGTGAGAATGCTGGTGTTTGGAACAGATTCTGAACTGGCACAAATAGCTTGTTGAGAAGTGCCCTAGTTAGACACTGATGTATTTAAAGCAAGTTTATATTTGTTTGTTTGTTTGTTTACTTCTCAAATTTATATATGCCATGCATCTCACTGTACAAGTGACTCTAGTTGTCATTACAAGTAAAAAAAAATATGATTCATTCATGTGATATCTCTGCGTTTTTGCAACTTAAATAGTCAAAGTTCAGATTAGTGGGTTTTTAATGTTCTGTCGTATGAAAAACAAAACTGTATATTTGACAGTAATGTACACAGATTCAGCTATGGATATCTATGGGTGGTATGGCCCTGGAAAGACCCTGGAATGGCTTATAAATGCTCCTTGGTTTTTTATATGTAAAACATTGTATGAAACTACATATTTGACACAACTTCTTCATAGATATTTCTAAGAAATTTAGTGTCTGCAGCAGAATGGGGTAGGATAAAATAATTGAATCCTGAGATAGAAGAATGATCTGTATCACTTTAGACTGCAAGCAAGGAATTAGTGTTGGTTTTTGGTTTTGGTTTTTTTTAGTGTATGTATGTATGTGTGTAATTATATTTTTAAAAGCCTTTACAAATGAAAGATTAGCAGAACAGGGCCAGCTGAAGTAGAAACCTTTTTCCTTAAATAACCCTTTTCCTTAATATTCTGGTTTTCTGCTTGGAGTTTACACATAGAGGAAAAGGCTACACTTACAATCTGAAGTGATGCAATATCTTTTACCGCTTTAGCATAACAACACATTGTGTCACTGCATGTGCAGGCAGCGTTCACCTTTCATTTAATTATTAGATGTTTCCAGTTTTTGGAAATCTATCAAGATAGTGAATGGGTTTCCAGTTTTAGCATGTATCCATAGCTGAGCATGATTTTGCTCCAAAATTCCACATAGTACCACACTCTGGTTTCTCATAGTAACCAACTGGATGCTTCTGGTAGGACTATAATGCCAGATGTGAAGACAATAGCCTTTTCCTGCTGTTCTCCATCATCAGACTTTCACAGGATGGCCTTTCTCCCCTAATTAGACTGTATTCCATAAATATAAATTTTTATATCAACATTCTTTGTAAACTTTCCTGTAACTTTTTAAATAACTAGAATTCATTATTTCTATTAAATTATTGGCTTGTAGAGGATACATGTATTATGAAAGTATGTCTTTTCTCAGCCGATTCTTAATAACTACATAGTCTCTCTTCATATATAGTTCTCTGGAATGCTGTTCGCTTAAATATAGTCACTCCAATTTTACATCTTGCTCCCAAGTTCATTTAATGCGTAGCTTTCTTTCTGCTTTACTATTCTTCCCTAACATTTAAACAAGCTAATTGTTTAATTGTTTGACTTGATTTGATTTGATTTGTTAAGGCCACCCAGCTCCAAGAAGTCTCTGGTGTTGTACAATAGGTCCGATACAATATATTAAAAGCAGATTAAAAACATATTAAGAGCAACATAATTGCCTGGGCCAAAATTACACTCCCCAACATGCAACAACTCATTAGGGACTCTAGAGCCACCTTAACCCCAGGCCATCCTAAATTAGCCATCTCTGCTAGCATGCTTGTGATCTAGAGAATGGGGGTGCTAGAATGTATCTGATACTTTCAGAAATCCTGAAGCTGCCAAATTCAATAACTGTGACTCATTCGAATAAGGAATTATAACAAATAAATAAATAATTGTGATAGTTGCCCAGAGCTGTAAGGTACTGGACTAGAGACCAGGAGTTCTAGGCCTCCCTTAGGCATGAAAGCCAGCTGGACAACTTTGGGCCAGTCACTCTCTCTCGGCCCAACCCACCTCATGAAAAGGGTTGTTACTGGGGGGGAAACAGGAGGCAGGAGTATTAAGTATGTTCACCACCTTGAGTTGACCAAATATTAAACAAAAAGTGGGATAAAAAAATCTAATAATAATAATAACAGCAACTTTTGCTGTACTCTGGAATCCAGATATTTCTTCAGTTCAGAAAACTATGTTGTTGGTATTTGATGAGCCAGAATGTTTAACACTAGTAGAGACGAATTTACCTTTGTGACTAAGAGCACTTCCACGCTATGTTGACTGTGCTACCCAATTCCTCACAAATAATTTGAAGCTGACTTGCAGTTGCCTTCATTTCTCCCAACCTTGAAACATATGCAACTTTATATACCAGTCAGTGGTCTTTATTCAGCTGATCAACAGGAAAATTCAAAAAGTTATTCAATCAGTGTCCTGTACCATGCCTTGCAGGTCCTGGAACAACAATCCCTTCACTTTTCATTACATGAAAAAGAAATAAATCCCACTTTAAGAACCTTAGAACAGAATATTACATCAGCTGAAGCCCAGTAACAAGGAGTGGGGGGGGGGGAGCACAAATTCCCACTAATGAGAAATCTCACATGTGCTCTGCAGAGCTTCAGCATTGCAAAGAGAAAAAAAATGTTCCTCCTCCTCTTTCTGTGTGCTGTAGCTGAGTCAGAAATATACCAGCTGGTCTACTAAACACAAATAATGATGTGAGAATACAGAGGTCCATCACATAGCTTGGGCAGTGCTGATCCCTCTTGGGAATTATTTGATGGGAAAACTTGAAATGTAGTCAAATATGTTAGGAATAAGTTTGAATAATTTCTAGGACAGAGTCTCCCCTTCAGGTGGAATCCGAACATTTGGAAAAATAAGGGAAATTGATGGTGGGGGCACTTACCTGAAATGAATCTTTTCAAGTTTTGGAGAATTCTCCACTCCCCCCCCCCAAAAAAAACCCCTATGTTTTAAAAATCCCCACCAGTTCCAAATCAAATTACCTCTATTTAACTTTGCAAACCTTTTGGAAGAGAGTAGCGGGGAAATAATTAAGCAGTTTATATAGAATTAATTAGTCCTCCCTCTAATTTATACACCGTATTTCCCACTCTTATTCTCTTAATTTTTTTTAAAGGGTTTGGAGGACTTGTTACATGTATTTTATGTAATACTGGGGGAGGGGGCTTTGTGTAGGTTCATTTGGATTATTGTAGCATGGTCTACCTGTTGGAGAACATTTGAAAGCTGAAGCTGGCTGAGAATGCAGTGGTGCAGGCCGTTGGCATTTCTCATTATGCTCATGTAACACTGCTGCTCTGCAAGCTGCACTGGCTCCCAGTAGACTTCTGGGTGCAATTCAAGGTGTTGGTTAGCACCTATAAAGCCCTACATATCATAGTGCCAAGCTATTTGCAGGACCGCCTCTCTCCCATAGCTTCTGCTTGCTCCACCAGATCTAGAGCAGAGAGCATGCTCTGGGTCCCCTCCATCGAAGAGTGTCATCTTGTTGGACTCAGGGGTCATGCTTTCTCAGTGGCAGCACCTGCCCTGTGAAACAGCATCCCCTGAAAATCTGGATGGCCCTGAACTTATTAGCCTTTTGCAAGGCTCTAAAGACTGACCTGTTTCCCAAAGCGTTTGAGCCAGGAGGGTAGGTGAACTCTGATGTAGCTTTTATAATTGGGAGGTATAGTTTACCTCGAGCATCCTGGGTCGTTGCTTATAGCTATTGTTTTAAGGCCTGTACACCTCCCAGAGTCTCTATAAACAAATAAATAATGCTAAAGGACTTATTGTGACCAAGAAATACCAGACAATGACTTGCTGAAGCACCGGTAGCTACAGCAAAGGAAGTGCAAAACTAGTGTTATAGGGCCAAAAGCCAAAAAAGCAAAATGATTGCTGAATGGAACTTTCTCTTAATTAAATAATACTTTAGAATCTTGCTCAAGGGGATGTTTTTGCCAGGATAATTATGGAGCATGTTTTCTAAAATACCTAATAAAAACACCATTTTAATTTTGCATCAAGCTTGAAAAAGAGGAAAGGCTCAGCAGGGCAAAAGAGCATTAGATGGGAAGCAACTGTAATATGTTCAACTGTACTTTCCACATTAATCTAACACACAAGTTACAAGCAGGAGAAGATAGCAATATCTTTATCTGGGCTACTGAAAAACCTTAAGATGACTGTTGTGGTGTCTGTGGCCAACTTATGGTTCATAAACTCCAAACTGCAAAGTCCAGTTGTTGTCAAAATGTAGTTCTACCCAAGCCACTTTCAGGCAATTTTGCTATGGTTGTGCTAGTATTAAGGAAACTCAGTGGATCTCATCCCTTGACCCAGTTCAAAATATGAAATATTCTCTCCCCCCGTGCTGCTGCAAATCTGACAGACCTTTATTTTTCTGCCATGTGAGTGAAGAGTGTGGAAGAACAGCTGTTTCATCCTTTGGATTGAGATTGGTTCCATCCCTTTTAATTACGGTTACAGCAGTTCTGGGAAGAAATTGGTGCCAGCACTAACTTAATTCAAAGAATAGTAAAATGTATTTTTCCCTCCCTTTTTAAAACCACTTTGAATTTTAAGTAAGAAGTATCATTGTTTTAAATAGAGCACAATCACTTGGAAAAGACTAAAATGTCTTATTATTTATAGTCCAGAAATTGGGTGGGAGGTGGGAGCACAGAATTTGGCAGTTTGAATGTATGTAAGTTAGACCAGGGTTCCTCAACCTTGGCAACTTGAAGATGTGTGGACTTCAACTCCCAGAATTCCCCAGCCAGCCTGGCTGGGGAATTCTGGGAGTTACAGTCCACATATCTTCAAGTCGCCAAGGTTGAGGAACCCTGAGTTAGACTATCTTGCTTTCCTTTTCGTTGTAGAATGCTCCGACTGTCAAACTGGGTACATTAGTTTGATCTGGCTAAGTCCTTCATGTTTGAAGGACTTCACTGTGTCAACAGACTAGCAAAACATTTTATCCCTTTTTGTATGTCTATGTTCTATAACGATTTCAACAATTCACATACAACTGGAAACACGGTTCTATGTTATGAATGTCGGAAAACTTACTTAAGATTCTTCATATTTCAGAAACACCCAAATGAAAGCTTCCAGTCATATTTTGCCAATGTTAGCGGTCACATTTATATTTCTGATGGGGAGGGGCATTCACAACATTTGTCTGATATTAGTCAAGATTAACATTCTGATTGCCAATGTTTGCACATTTGTTGTAACGTCAATGTTAGACAGGAGAAATGTAGCCGAGAAACAGTTTGCTTTGTGCTTCAGTGCTGATTTCAAAATACTTTTCTAGCACTAGTCAGAGAAGAAAAATCAGAATTTGGTGCAGTTATGCCATGCCCGTGTATGTTTTCTGCTCCAGGAAATAATTTTGTTACCTTGCTGCCTTATACGTAGAGCTCTGGAAATCATTTTTTTATATTTTTCCCTTCCTCCTCTTTCCACCCTTATGATCTAGACACCACTAACTGTATGGAGTTGATGACTGGGAGACTTTCTAAATGTGGTAAGAACTTCCCTTCCACTTTTTCTTCTTCCTAGCCCTCACTGAACGATATGATGGCCCAACACCCCTTTTCCTATGAAACCTCTCATCTTCTGAACACTCTTTTATAACCAGCCAGCTTGCTGCTTGCTTGTCTTTGGAAAACATGGCGTTCCCAGTTTTCTCCCTTGATACGCACATGTGCACAGACTTGTCACATTTCAACCGGCACAACATATATGTGTATATGATTTCACTGTTTTGAAAATTCCTATTCTTGCACCATCACTGGTTCCTCTCACCCCAGTGCCTGGTAGTGTGTATATATTTGCTTTCAAGCCTTTGCTCTGACTTTAAATTCAAATATACCTTTCTCTGCTTTGCACTCTGTACCACATTCCTTGCTGCTGTGCTAATACCTGGTTCCCCCAACTCTTGCTGAGAAGGGGACAATAAGGTTCTTGCTTAATTTCCCAGTCTCCTCCAGTGTGACTAGGGGAACTCTATCTTTCTCCCACTACAAATGGAATCATTTTATTCAGTGGGATGATTAGTTTAGCAAATACAGTAAACTTAGGTCCAGCCCAACTCCCTGTTTTGCTTTGATGGGAGTTCAACATAACAGTTTCAAGTAACAGGAAACAATCAAGTTTCCATTGAACATCTCATCCTGTCTGGGTTGAGATTATGCAGTTACCCTGTTTCTCTCAACTCTGCCCTTGCCAAAGATTTCTCTCTCTCTCTCTTATTCTTTCAAAAAAGAAAAAGAAAAAAGAAAACATAACCTTAGAAGGCAGACTAATACTATGGATCAGAGTTAAGATGGTATGCCCAGCTGCAGTTCAGCAGCTAAGAATTGCCACTTCACAGTACCTGAATAGCATTTGCCAGTTTGTACTACTTAAGCTACAAAATTTGCCATGCTGATAAGTGATTTGACAATCATACATTGGAGTGGCTGAAGCTGCCTTGGAACCTATATCAAATGTCTATAGGTGTCAGAAATCAAATTTGGCCTATGCAAATCACTCCTTTCCATTATATTCTAATAGCTCAACCAGAGGGAGGTCTTTCAATTGGGAAAGGGAAATTGCTTTGATTTATTATCTCAGCCATCAGGATGCATCATCCCCAGTGTCTTCCTGGAGAGTCATTTAAATGCTAAGAAGGTCTTTAACCTCTTCATAAAAACATCTTCTCTCCCCCTAAGCCCTAGTTACCAGAAGCAAGATCATGCAAAACCCCTAAAACTTACCATGTTCATGCAGGTTAATTACAGTGCATATCAAATAGCCATATTCTGCTCCACCTGGAGTCTTATGTTATATGACGCTTGTCTAATGCCATTTTTGTCAATATTACTGGATGATATAATGGCCATGAAAAACAGAATTTTAAAGGCGGTAGATAAGAAGAAAGTCTTGAGCATATGTACAATGCCTATGGGCAAAAATATAAAAGATGTTATTGAGGCATTCTAGCATAATTACAGGGCTGCTTTTGTACCACTTGAAAATACTTGCTTCTTGATCAACATAGAATGTCTTCTTTATCGGCCATGTGATTTTATAAGTAAAGTGCAAAGTGAATTGCCCACAACTGTAAAGAATGGTTGATAATTATCAGACTGTGGTTACAGTAAGACCAATTAGATTAATGAAAATAGGAATGGCAACTCTACCTGTCAGTACAGTGATACACAAAACAGTATGCGCAAATTGAACAAGCGTGTATGTTTTCTTCTATTTAGGAATAATAAATAAGTTTTATTTTGGTCTTTCAACAGTATTCTTATATACTCAATAGGCAATGCAAACAAATATATAAAATGCATATAGGTAACACAATCTTTTATAAGCATATGAATCATTACTCTATTTAACTACAGTATACCTCATTCTTCCCTGACAGTGGCTCTGGATCTGAGATGAAGCCAGACAAAATTTTCCAATTTGCCATGTAACTCTAGAATCCTAGTCTGCAAGTTATTAGCAAACATAAAAATCCTCTGAGTTCCCAGGGATTTTGCAAATTATAGAATATGCAGTGTAGTACTACAAGTCCCAGGAGATGTTGCAGGAGACAGGAAGGGGAAGTTCTTAGGAAAGGAGTGTAGAAGGCAATAAGACTGAGAAACTGTTGAGAGGACTATATCTAAATTTGTTATGTAGTAAGGAATTCTAAGTCACATCTTACTCTGGAATCTTTCTTTAGACTCCCCTAAGAAAGAATACAGCGATCAGCGATGAACGTTGGATCCTGGAATATTTACATATGCATAACTCACTCTAGTCTTGTTGCTCTCCAACTTCTGAATATTAATGCAAATGTCAGGTGTACAGAGTACAAGCTGTGGATGGATGCATTTACATTCTATGAAATTACTATCAAACTGGATAAAGAAGAAGATGGTTATTTGGAAGGCTAAACTATTGGAAGCTCCAGTACAACCATTTTTTTCAAACTTACCAGGAGAAAAAGGTATCTTACTTCAAGCTGAAGATGCTTTGGATAAATATTTCACTCTCTACAGAAATGTTGTGATGAAACAGTTGAAATTTAGATGTAGAATAAAAGCAGTTGTTGACTCTTTAGATCCATATGTTAATGCACTTGGGGAATTAACTAAATCGTGAGTGTGGACATTTAGAAACAGATGAAATTCCAGATCAAGTGGTGGAAAAATGCATTCACAAATCACTGTGAATAAATACCTGTAATAGAAAAATATGACATTCAATAAATATCTGTAATAGAAAGAGATGGCATTGGATAAAGCCACTGCCATGATCAGATTATATGAAAGTGCTCAAGAAAAAAAATAACTTAGTGTCCACATGAGTAGCATCTCTCTAAAACTTCCATTAATCAGATTAATCAGCCAAAAGTGATGAAAAGCCTAGCAAAATGCAGCTAAAATGTGACTGGGAATATAGTGTTCCATGATTCAAATCAGTCACAGGCAGAAATTCTTTATAATTGTTGTGGATTACTGCACCATTCAAGAGAAGAATATAAATCTATATTGCAAAGGAGGAAAAAAAGGACATTTACTGTAGATTGAGTTTGTTACAAGAAAATCATGGATGGATCTTTTTACCAGAACATGAAATGGCCATGTAAAGGAGAAAGTCTCTAAGGGCTTTTAGGACAATAGAAAATAACAATGAGGAAGAATTTATTTTGGGAATGCTGAATAAAGTGAGTGTTAATGGGAAGCAATTAGAGGTGGTGACTGATACTAGGAGTTAATGGAAATTTATTTGTAGTAAATGTTACCATGCAGTATTTACAAGCAAAAAGTTGTAAATGCTGCTGACAAAAATGATTGTTTTTTAACCTATGGGCAGCCCCGCCCATTCATGTGTTTGAGTTACTTTATAGTGTAGTTTGCTTGGATGTGGTTGATGATTTTATGTATGTTATCAAAGAAGATTTAGAGCCACTTCTTGGCCAAACATCTACCTTTTCCTTTCATAGCCTTCAGAAAGAGACTTTGTAAGCCATATTATAGTGCTATTGCTCATTCTCAGAGTCGGCTGAATCAGTTGGTGGACTGGAACTACTTCTTATTTGAAGGGTTTGGATAAATTACTGAATGTTCTCACACAGTTACAGTGGATGAGTCTATTGTGTCTGCTGCATGGGACTGGAGATGCATACCATATGCATGGTAGAAGCCGAATTAAACAAAATGTTGAAGAATGGTATTATAGAAAAAGGACATGAAAGTACAAATTGAAGTACTGATGAAATGAGTCTTTATTTTGACCTGAGGACAGGAGATAAGAATGTGGCGTGAGAGCACCACTCTGTACCTACAATAGATAATATTTTGCATGCTATGCAGGTTGCTCTGAATTTTATTAAATAAGATGTTACCAAAGTTGGTTGGTAAATAGAATTGGCACCAGAATCTCTCCATTTGATGGCCTTTATTATGCACTGTGGTTGTTGTAGATTCTGTTAAGCTCCATTTGGGCTTTCAGATACCCCTGAGGCTTATCAAAGAGCGATCACTCTATGGGGTCTTCCTGGTGTTGTATGGTGTGTGGATGATGTCATTGTCTATCCAGCAACTGTTGAAGAGCTCTGTGATAGACTCAGAGCAGTTTTTGAATGACTCCATAAAACAAATTAAAAACAAATGCCAATTTCATCTTGAAGAGTTTCTTATATTAGGAACAGCTGAAGGCATTAAACCTGATCCAAAGAAAATAGAAGCTATTCTGCAAGACCCGATTCCTGAGAATCTGGAGTTGTGTTCTTTTTTAACTAGCTGTAGCTCTTATGAAATTTATTCCTAATTATGCAGATATTTCAGAACTGCTGAGGCTGCTGATTAAAAAAGGAGTTGCTTGGCACTGGCCTGCAGCATTTCAGACTCTGCATTTCAGTAGCTGCAAGATATAATAGTTAAGGAACCTTGCTCAGCTTATTATAATCTGAATGCTCCAACTTCTGTGCTGACTGATGCCACTCCTGTGGGACTTGGTGTCCTCTTGCTATAGACTCAATAAGATGGATCAAGCAAGCCTGTTGCTTATGCCACCCGGTCACTTTCTTCTCTGGAGCAGAAGTATTCATAGATTGAACATGGAACTTTAGGATGTGTGTAAGTTATAAAACATTTTAACATCTGTGATTATATCCATTTGTGCTGTTAACAGATCACAAACAACTTTTATACATATTTCAACCATCATTTTGCCATCTTTCATCCAACATCTCAGCTGGAGATTACAACCTGATGATTTTGTTGTTGAACGCATTTCTGAAATAATGGAAGTAGCTGATTTCTTATTGAGGAAATTAATTAAGGATCAAACTCATAGGTAGAGGAGTATGTTCATCAGGTTGTTTGATGTATATTGGATTTTGAGGCATTATCATTAAAGGAACTCAGCCTTGCTTCTCAACAAGAAACTTTGCTCACAAAATTTCAACATATTGTTGAATCCAAGAAATGGCCACAAATAATTCTTGCTCCACTGTGGATCATTTAAGAATGTCAGTTATGA